ACCGGATGTCTCTTTGGCCCGCCACAAAGCGGGGTTTCCGGACTAACCGGGTGTCCCCGTTGCCCGCCACAAAGCGGGGTTTCCGGACTAACCAGTGGGGTTTCTGGAGTAACTGGGTGTCTCTGTTGCCCACCACAATGCGGGGTTTCCGGAGTAACCGGGTGTCTCTGAGGCCCGCCACAAAGCGGGCTTTCTGGAGTAACTGGGTGTCTCTGTGGCCCGCCACAAAGCTGGGTTTTCGGAGTAACCGGGTGTCCCTGTTGCCCGCCACAAAGCAGGGTTTCCGGACTAACCAGCGGGGTTTCTGGAGTAACCGGGTGTCTCTGAGGCCCACCACAAAGCGGGGTTTCCGGAGTAACCAGTTGTCCCTGTTGCCCGCCCCAAAGCGGGGTTTCCGGACTTACCAGCGAGGTTTCTGGAGTAACCGGATGTCTCTTTGGCCCGCCACAAAGCGGGGTTTCCGGAGTAACCGGGTGTCCCCGTTGCCCGCCACAAAGCGGGGTTTCCGGACTAACCAGCGGGGTTTCTGGAGTAACCGGGTGTCTCTGAGGCCCACCACAAAGCGGGGTTTCCGGAGTAACCGGGTGTCCCTGTTGCCCGCCACAAAGCGGGGTTTCCGGACTAACCAGCGGGGTTTCTGGAGTAACCGGGTGTCTCTGAGGCCCACCACAAAGCGGGGTTTCCGGAGTAACCGGGTGTCTCTGAGGCCCGCCACAAAGCGGGCTTTCTGGAGTAACTGGGTGTCTCTGTGGCCCGCCACAAAGCTGGGTTTCCGGAGTAACCGGGTGTCCCTGTTGCCCGCCACAAAGCGGGGTTTCCGGAGTAACCAGTTGTCCCTGTTGCCCGCCCCAAAGCGGGGTTTCCGGACTAACCAGCGAGGTTTCTGGAGTAACCGGATGTCTCTTTGGCCCGCCACAAAGCGGGGTTTCCGGACTAACCGGGTGTCCCCGTTGCCCGCCACAAAGCGGGGTTTCCGGACTAACCAGTGGGGTTTCTGGAGTAACTGGGTGTCTCTGTTGCCCGCCACAAAGCGGGGTTTCTGGAGTAACTGGGTGTCTCTGTTGCCCGCCACAAAGCGGGGTTTCCGGAGTAACCGGGTGTCTCTGTTGCCCGCCACAAAGCGGGGTTTCCGGACTAACCAGCGAGGTTTCTGGAGTAACCAGTTGTCCCTTTTGCCCGCCACAAAGCGGGGTTTCCGGACTAACCAGTGGGGTTTCTGGAGTAACTGGGTGTCTCTGTTGCCCGCCACAAAGCGGGGTTTCCGGAGTAACCGGGTGTCCCCGTTGCCCGCCACAAAGCGGGGTTTCCGGACTAACCAGTGGGGTTTCTGGAGTAACCGGGTGTCTCTGTTGCCCGCCACAAAGCGGGGTTTCCGGAATAACCGGGTGTCCCTGTTGCCCGCCACAAAGCGGGGTTTCCGGACTAACCAGCGGGGTTTCTGGAGTAACCGGATGTCTCTTTGGCCCGCCACAAAGCGGGGTTTCTGGAGTAACCGGGTGTCTCTGTTGCCCACCACAAAGCGGGATTTCCGGAGTAACCGGTTGTCCCTGTGGCCCGCCACAAAGCGGGGTTTTCGGAGTAACCGGGTGTCCCTGTTGCCCGCCACAAAGCAGGGTTTCCGGACTAACCAGCGGGGTTTCTGGAGTAACCGGGTGTCTCTGAGGCCCACCACAAAGCGGGGTTTCCGGAGTAACCAGTTGTCCCTGTTGCCCGCCCCAAAGCGGGGTTTCCGGACTTACCAGCGAGGTTTCTGGAGTAACCGGATGTCTCTTTGGCCCGCCACAAAGCGGGGTTTCCGGAGTAACCGGGTGTCCCTGTTGCCCGCCACAAAGCGGGGTTTCCGGACTAACCAGCGGGGTTTCTGGAGTAACCGGGTGTCTCTGAGGCCCACCACAAAGCGGGGTTTCCGGAGTAACCGGGTGTCCCTGTTGCCCGCCACAAAGCGGGGTTTCCGGACTAACCAGCGGGGTTTCTGGAGTAACCGGGTGTCTCTGAGGCCCACCACAAAGCGGGGTTTCCGGAGTAACCGGGTGTCTCTGAGGCCCGCCACAAAGCGGGCTTTCTGGAGTAACTGGGTGTCTCTGTGGCCCGCCACAAAGCTGGGTTTCCGGAGTAACCGGGTGTCCCTGTTGCCCGCCACAAAGCGGGGTTTCCGGAGTAACCAGTTGTCCCTGTTGCCCGCCCCAAAGCGGGGTTTCCGGACTAACCAGCGAGGTTTCTGGAGTAACCGGATGTCTCTTTGGCCCGCCACAAAGCGGGGTTTCCGGACTAACCGGGTGTCCCCGTTGCCCGCCACAAAGCGGGGTTTCCGGACTAACCAGTGGGGTTTCTGGAGTAACTGGGTGTCTCTGTTGCCCGCCACAAAGCGGGGTTTCCGGAGTAACCGGGTGTCTCTGTTGCCCGCCACAAAGCGGGGTTTCCGGACTAACCAGCGAGGTTTCTGGAGTAACCAGTTGTCCCTTTTGCCCGCCACAAAGCGGGGTTTCCGGACTAACCAGTGGGGTTTCTGGAGTAACTGGGTGTCTCTGTTGCCCGCCACAAAGCGGGGTTTCCGGAGTAACCGGGTGTCCCCGTTGCCCGCCACAAAGCGGGGTTTCCGGACTAACCAGTGGGGTTTCTGGAGTAACTGGGTGTCTCTGTTGCCCGCCACAAAGCGGGGTTTCCGGAGTAACCGGGTGTCTCTGTTGCCCGCCACAAAGCGGGGTTTCCGGACTAACCAGCGAGGTTTCTGGGGTAACCGGATGTCTCTTTGGCCCGCCACAAAGCGGGGTTTCTGGAGTAACCGGGTGTCTCTGTTGCCCACCACAAAGCGGGATTTCCGGAGTAACCGGTTGTCCCTGTTGCCCGCCACAAAGCGGGGTTTCCGGACTAACCAGCGGGGTTTCTGGAGTAACCGGGTGTCTCTGTTGCCCGCCACAAAGCGGGGTTTCCGAAGTAACCGGGTGTCCCTGTTGCCCGCCACAAAGCGGGGTTTCCGGACTAACCAGCGGGGTTTCTGGAGTAACCGGGTGTCTCTGTTGCCCGCCACAAAGCGGGGTTTCCGGAGTAACCAGGTGTCCCTGTTGCCCGCCACAAAGCGGGGTTTCCGGAGTAACCAGGTGTCTCTGTGGATATACAGTGTTTGCAGCACACGCTGAAATATATCATTCTAAAACGTAATGCACGAAAAATACACGTAAATGGTCACATTATGTTATAAATATGTGGTAAATACTTTGAATATGTACATGCTGTACAATATATGAACAGGTAAAGATTGGGTAGTGGCTTTCTTAAATCAAATTCACATATATTAACAATATAACGATTAACAAAATTAATACTTCCGATCCACTTTCGAATGTAAATATCATACACGCATGAGTATCCAAAATGGAAGTGAAAATCTAATATTTGAAATGGGTATGTACATGTACAACACTAAGTGAGACAGGATTTGTGATTCATAAACACATCATTTGTATTTGTACAAGGAAGCAGTATACGGCTATAACAGAGGTGTATGTTCGTACGAGACTTGGGGCGGTCGGGTAGCCTAGTGGTTAAAGCGTTTGCTCGTCACGCCGAGGACCCGGGTTCGATTCCCGACATGGGTACAATGTGTGAAGCTCATTTCTGGTGTCCCCCGCCGTGATATTACTGGAATATTGCTAAAAGCGGCGTAAAACCATACTCACTCACTCGTACGACACCTGTTGACACTGATACCTCGGCAATCCCGACTTGTTGTTCGCTCACAAAGGGCGAGGTAGGCCCATTGGCAATATCATTGTTTAATTTATAGAAAATCATCAGACATGTTCAAAATACCAGGGTTTTTTTCTTTCTTAGACTTTCTTTACACGTTCGTTTCTACATTCAAGTTCACAAGAATGGGTGCATTGATGGAAAAATCTGACTATGAACAAGTCCGTGACATCTCAAGTAAGTCGGTTAGGTCAAAGACTTGCGTACATGTGCGTTCAAATAAATATAGAAATCCCGAAGGCCTCTCAAATCATTATTTCGACACATTTGAGCCTGAAGTATACATTAAGTGTTGTTATAAGTATAAAACAAGCATTTGTTGAAATGAACACAATCTAGCTGCCATTCTTTTGAACATATCTGCTGACATTTATAAGACTTTTTAAAAGTTTTTCGAATTTCTTAAATAATGTAGATCCTGTGTTCAAAGAGGGCCCTTATCGTACCTTGTCCTTTCGCTCAACCAGTCACTGGTATGCAGGATGTTCCTGTTTATACATGCATATGTTCAAAACAATTATCCGGAATGCGGGGTTTCCGAGCTAACGAGATTTCACTGTTTCACTGATGGGATTCGGCTGTTTCACTAATGGGATTTCACTGTACCTGCTTCATATAACTCACCCTTTTTCAAATGCATACGTTTCGTATCTGAATATTCGACACATCAGTACATATATTTCCGTTTTCACTACCAAAAATACTCATTCTGATAAATCCGGGCGGTAGGGTCCCTAGGGATATTTATTCTCCAGGTTAAAAAAAGCTCCGGATTATCAATCCAAGGAAACGCAGTTGTGTTCCTTTAATTGTATACGGACGTTCACAACTTTGATACTCCAGAAGTGACGTTATCGGGGTTGTGTTGTACGTGTTCAAATGGAATTGGTAAAAAATGGTTTCGATTTGTACAGACGTGTATAACGTGTGCGGGGAATTTAGTTCAGTGCTAATCCAATGAACCTAACATTGAACCTGGTCCACCACTTTCATGTCACAGCAGTTCCATTGTTGCCCTTTCATCCAGGGCCCTGTTCCACAAAGTGATCTTAGTGCTACGGTGATCGTAACCCTATGATAAAGTATGGGAGTTACGACCAATTTAGCACTGACATCGCTTTGTGGAACAAGTCCCGGTATGCTTGTCGTAAAAGGCGACTAACGGGATCGGGTGGTCAGGCTCGCTGACGTGGTTGATGCACGTCATCGATCCCAATAGCGTGGATCGATGCTCATGATATTAATCACTGGATTGTCTGGTCCAGACTCGATTATTTACAGACCGCCGTCATATAGCTGGAATATTGCTGAGTGCGGCGTTAAACAACAAACCAACCAACCAACCAACAAGTCCCGGGACAGTAACTGTTAAAGAAGAAATCCTTTTGTTGTACACTGTATATCACACCCGCCCACAACAAAACACATTCTTCAGTACTTTGCAACACTCACGACGAAATCTGACGTTCATGACGCCGTAGATGACGGGGTTCGCTGCTGAGTTAACGAAATAAGAGCGTAGGAATATATTGAAGAAAATAGTGCTCACATCATCCAGTTTGTAGTCAAAGTCTTTAACGGTTGACATCGCAATAACTAGGGATAAGAAAGGCACAAAACTAAGTATGAATACAATTGTCACCATGAAGGCTATAGTGGTAGTCTTGTTGGTCCTTCTCCGTGACGTCATGCTTCGGCTGGGACTCCGTCCTGTTTTGTTGGGTACACTTCCCTCGCTATCAGCTGACGACAATTCTATAGAGGTACCAGTGGATGGTGTGTTTTGACCAACTGACACTGAGCGTGTGGTTTCTGTATGTTTCTTAGCTGTCCGCCATACTAAGAAATACAAGATGCACAACAAGACAGCAATAATAATGAATAACAGAGCCAGGACGCCATTGTAGATCAGAGGATAGAGTGTGTGTTTGACGGCATCACTTGTTGAACAGTCCTGACCAATCAAATGCTCGACACCTGTGTCTGCTGATCGAATTCCGTATAAGACAATAGCTGGCCACGAAAATGCAGCGGATAAGAGGATTGAAAAGCTGATCACAAACTTCATCTGTTTAATGCCAAGTTGTTTCTTGTGAGGACAGCACACCTTCCGGTAGCGATCAACAGCTATTCCGAGGAGAGTGAGGATTGAACACATTGCGCAGAAGGTGTTCACACATCTCAACATTTTGCAGGCAAACACGGACTCGAACATGAAAAAGAATCTCATGTCCGCTATCTCTGTGGGCATGGAGATGATGCAACTGAGAAGGTCAAAGACTGCAAGACTTGTGATGAGGACACTCTGGGTACTGATGGTCAGTTTCATGGGGAAGACGTACACGACGAGAACGTTGCCAACAAACCCCACTATCATCATGACACCTACGTACACCATGGCCGGAAGGAGCAGCATTGCCATGGCATCGTTCACTTCCTGTAACGTCACGTTGCTGTGCGACATGTTCGCCATTTTGTTTCTTTGAGGTGTAGACTATAACTGATGTGTGCGGTTGCTGGAAATGTCGCCAAGTTTTTGGATTTCAACACAAGAGTTTGAATTAATCATTTTGAAAAAGAAGCGTTATTTGTTTTCTAATTGACATCATGGCATGGTTGATGGCATTATAATTATGTCCGATGTGGCGGCACATCTTCTGCAGTGGCATGACCTTTTGCGGTGGAAAACAAATGCAGCATGTTCCATGGATTTCAGTTTGTATCACTGTGAATGTCAAGACGGCCTGTAGTCCTGGTTGAGTTGTTCCCCTTTGTGTGCTTTCTCGTCACCTGAAACCAGGAACGCACATGTGAAAAACGATAAGTTTGTGTAACATAACTATAGATGATTCTAGAGTCCATCCATATGTAGGTAACTATTTACTGGTTGCACACACTCTCTATATTATATAGCTAATACTTAGAAAGGATGTAAATATCGAGAAATCTACATATTCGCTGACGTGCATATCACTAGTCCTCTCGAACCGCAGGTAAAATGCCTGGAATAGCGTTGGTATGACACACGTTATACAGTACTCAGAAACAGTTAACAGAAACAGCTATGTGTATACATATTTATAACATTAATTAAACTTATGTTCATATCGTGGGTATTATAGGCTCATTTATAGAGTTGAAATGATATGTATGATTGAAATATATTACGTTATTTCATCATTCGCATTGGATATTTCAGGTGGACACCGTGCTTGAATCGACATCATTGCAATTCCATATTGGATTTGCCCCGGAAGATTTACGGATTACTGGAGTGAGTGAGTGAGTGAGTGAATGAGTGAGTGAGTGAGTGAGTGAGTGAGTGAGTGAGTGAGTGAGTGAGTGGAGCGAGCGGGCGGGCGGGCGGGCGAGCGAGCTTACGCCTGTTGCTGTGTCAGTGAGTATTATCATCATGAAAATCCAACAACGTCTATGTTTACCTAGTCAGTGTGTATAGAAGAACAATAGGCTTACTGATATGTAAACTTTATCTTCACTGATTACCTGGTCGCTTTATGTAGTGAGTGCACTAAGGTGTCTCATCACCTGTATGTTATCTGATATGCCTCTGTAGTCATGCAATAATGCAATACAAACAACTGTCCCCAAAGAGTCAGTTGTGTAGCTTCCTACATGCGTGTGTAGTTCATGTTTTTTAAGTAAGAGACGTTTTATTTGAGGTACTCACGCCTCCATTGAGCTAATTTAAGTCATGCATGAATACTGCAAAATTACCTAGTAAACTTAAATTTGAAAGCCATAAAGCCCTATTTTTATCAATACAATATCTTGAGACCACTCCCAGTTCTCACGTTTGTTGACAATTCGAAGTTTAATTACTCATCTCTTTGTACCGTTTTGACAGTGGGTATAATTTAGTGCCTACTCCAGCTGTGAACCATGTAACCTACAATCATATCCTTCTGTCAAGCTGCAATGCGTGTTCATCATTGAATACCGACGTTGGTGCTTCTTTCAGCGTATTTCAACGACACCTGGTAGTGTGTAATATATGCAGTAAACAGATACTTGTGTTATTCATGTACGTCTCCGTACATTGTGCGAAGACGACTCATATGTCATGGCAGTGTCATGAAGGTGTCATGAAGGTGTCATGAGATCAATACATGTGCTTTTGTTGTACAATGCATATATTATTGTCGTGCCTCTGCATTGTTTATGATATATTTTGTAATATATTTATCATAAATTAAAGTACACATGCCCACATAATTCATTCCATAGATATACAGAATCAAGAATATGATATGCGTGTATATAAAATGAAACGCGAACGCATAAACCCTTTCCATAATCATAAGAGGTACATTGTACGATTCCCCCTACAGTCGAACCCTGTTGTCTCAAACCCAGGGGACCACAATAAATAGTTCCGACTGATCTGGGTTTCATAAGCATTAGGTAAGCGTGTCCTTCCCACCGGCGGCACCCATCAAAAACACATGCAAAGGCAAAGCAAGTGCTTACAATACATTATTATCGATTATTTACAGGCCGCCGTCGTGTAGCTGGAACATTGCTGAGTGCGGTTTCAAAAAGGTGTTTACAACGTTATGGTATGCGTCACTTTTGGCGCTTCCCCCACATAGTTAAGACTCCTTTACTGTAGGCGTAGGCCTGATATACTGCCCATGTGAATTTAAATTTTAACTCACTTACTCACTTAGCTGTACCTTTGCTTACTCATAATAGTGTAATATGATAGTAGGGCACACATGTAATGAAACAGGCCAACGTCTGAATCTCTTCCTGTAAGCAAGGAAAGGTCATGTTCCTGTACTACATTGCTTATTAATTCCGACTGCATCATGAGAACGTGTTTATGAGTCAGTCATTACAAAAAGTAATGATACCGGGTGTTCGCGAAAAGGTGAGCGTATCCTGCCCCATCGGTGGCACCCGTTACAAACACATGCAAAGACAAGTCAACTGTTCACCTAAAAAACAGGAGAACATATGGTACAAGTCAAAACAGAGAATCGGATCGGACATCGTTCTCTTTTTTGTCACTGATGCGTCAAATTTTGCAGTCTCGACGTGTCTACCATAAAGCTTTTGAAAGCTTAACTGAGGCCTTGATGGTTGTAACTATGATCAACCAACTGTTGAGCAAATCGTTTAACGCTCTCAATCGTGGTAGATAAGGCATGGTCGTTTTGTTCCCAAAATGTTGTGAAATGTAGACACTGAAAGCTGGAGCTGCTGGCATTTATTGCCCGACATCGGTGGAAAGATGACTATTGAAAATACAGTAAACTACGGTTATAACGAACTCATAGGGACTACTAATTTTAGTTCGTTATAACCGTAGTTCGTTATAAGCATATATAAAGCATAACTACAGCAAATAGTCGGGACTAAAAAGCAAGTTCGTTATATCCGTCAGTTCGTTATAAGCGTGTTCGTAATAACCGTAGTTTACTTTACAATATTGTGGAAAGAATGTTGTCATTCTGGATCCTTATGCAGAGTTCTAAATACGAAAACAGGTGGCACGGTTTCAGTGGAAGGAAATTGAAATTATTGAACGATATATCCTGAACAAATACGGGAACATATGTGGTGGGAGATGAGGTGGCATGCGGTTTAACGTCCTATTCACGAGTATTGTTTATAGGGACGTGCATGCCCGTGTATGAGTGCGTGCGCGCCTGCGTGTGTGGCTGTTGTGCGAGTTCGAACTAATTAATACCGGTTTAGTAATGCTACTCCACTGAGATACCATGCCGCACTTTAACAATGTCAGGGGTACCACATTCAGACACAGTATACTGACTTTGAGTCGACCAATGCCCTTTTCATCCCCTTAATGGCAAGCGCCAGGCAGGGTAACAAGTACGATCAAGTACGATCTTTTGGTACATGTATGACACGGACCTTCCGCTCTCAGTGCAGACACACTATCCACTGGACCACGGAACATATATCACAATCCAAAATGTATTTAAATGTGTCATCCAGACGTCTACTGTCAAATCTCTCAAAGGTTCCCTAAGGCCTTGAATGACGTAATTCTGGTCAAACAACTTTAGAGCAAGAGTCGGCTAACGCTCTTTGATTTCTTCGCAGAAAAAGCATGATCAGCAGTTCCTCAAATATGTTTGTTTGTTTTGTGAGCACTATTTTCTTCAATATATTCCTACGCTCTTATTTCGTGAACTCAGCAGCGAATCCCGTCATCTACGGCGTCATGAACGTCAGATTTCGTCGTGAGTGTTGCAAAGTACTGAAGAGTGTGTTTTGTTGTGGGCGGGTGTGATATACAGTGTACAACAAAAGGATTTCTTCTTTAACAGTTACTGTCCCGGGACTTGTTGGTTGGTTGGTTGGTTTGTTGTTTAACGCCGCACTCAGCAATATTCCAGTTGTATGACGGCCGTCTGTAAATAATCGAGTCGGGACAAGACAATCCAGTGATTGATATCATGAGCATCGATTCACGCAATTGGGATCGATGACATGCATCAACCACGTCAGCGACTCTGACCACGCGATCCCGTTAGTCGCCTCTTACGGCAAGCATAGTCGTCTCTTACGGCAAGCATGGGTTGCTGAAGACCTGTTCTACACCCGGATCTTCACGGGTCCCCTCAAATATTTGAAACGTAGACACCAAACATAACACGAACATGAGTCACAGGTAAGTAATCACTCATTGTCTTCAAAGGTTGAACATGTGCAGGTGGGAATAGTTAAATATATAGCCGTCCTCAGGAAACAACAAGAAAACAACAAGGTCTTTGTCAGGCAATATACAAAGTTTGCATACACCACATGAACCTTTAATAGCAGAACGCATTTCCGTCATACTTTTGTAATCAGTTTATATTAGTCTAAATGCTTATGACTATAAACATTTGGATGATCCTGTGAGGCTCATATTCTGAATAGCCCACATGGTGAATTCAGTTATGACAGTATCCAATGCATCAAGCCAGAAGTATTAATTATAATTTATTGTTTATGCCATACGAAGATTAATGTGTCAATGGAATAATAAAATATATGTATACGTGTATCAATGTGTGTATATACTAGTATGCAATCTTCCACTAGCCTATTTATCCAACTTGAGTTTCCAAAACCAGGCTTTGATATAGGCTAGTGGACACGCTTGTCTCGGGAAGATGATCTATGCACATTTAATATTAAGTTATGATATGTAACAGATGTGTGATGAAAGGTGACATTGAACATTTTCTGGAATTCATAAATGACTCTGTAGGGAGGGACGAACGCGTCATTAGAACCGATAACTGGTAACTGAGTGGGGTACGCATTCTAAATATTTGGACAGCTATTACGCCACTTGATGTTCATACAACATTTCCGCGAACATTAGTGTCCTGGCGGCACATTAGTGTCATGTATCTATTAGGGTATAACGCCCGAGGACAACCATTAAGCACATGTTCACACCCTTAACAGATCACACATTCCATAATACATATCTACACTGCAAGGTACATCCATACTGTGAACGTAACTGAAATATACAAAGTCACGCGTACGGAACATTGCAGCATATCTATCAGATGAAAGAACACCAGAACCAATATAGAACTTTTCAAAGATCACAGTAAACCAAAGCGTTTTAACAGTAGCAATACAGTGCTGTGGGGCAGACCATTTGATTTTTTGATTTTATTTTTGATTTTGATTTATTTATTTTATCGAAAAATATATATTGATGTATAAATTAATTTGTTGAAAAATAATGAAATTACCTGCCACAAAAATGTCATTTTTGCAAGGTGTTCTTCTTAAAAATAAGCCTGGATCATGGTTTTAAATTGTTTTAAATATCTGGTTTTGTAGCTGAAGAGGAAAAATATCTATCCGACTATCTTATGTATGTTCGGTCCCTTCAAAGGACGAATGACAGATAGATATGAGTATTACATAATTACATACGTGGGGTTATAATTACTTGTGAACTACGATTGTTAAATGCATTATCTAGTCGCATCACTGGAGCGTGCTTGTCTGAGACTGATGCAAGATGCAAATATAACATAGCAATGGGATTACGTCATGTTGAGACGTTGACACACCGTGTATGCATCCAGGTTGTATTAAGGAAACTATATAAGCTTAGTATCAAGAACGTGACATATAATGTGTAATGTTCTGATGTTGCGGAATCAATTGAGGTTTAAGTAAACTAAATAAGAAGCATTTTTTGTCTGTATGTGGCACTGCCGCCATTTGTTTTCATCATTAGTTCAATGTATGAATGCAGCTGTCGGCCCTATCAAAGGAACCACTTCATGGATGATTTGTACAGCTAAGAAATATTTGTAGATTATTTATTTATGTAGATTAAGTAGTAGAGACTAACATTGCAACATAAATGTCTGTCCAGTATTCATGAAACAGCATTCCTTCTTAAAGCAAAGCAAATCATATCATGAATAATAGTTAAAAACTATGTGAACCAAACCTCCGACATCCTAACAACTTAACATACTGTTCACATCGTGAAAATGACGACTTACCTTCGTACAACGACCACATACCTCCGAGCACCTGCTTTGTATCCTCGCACATGAAAGGCCGGCATGAACGACTATGTGCATGTATTTCATGTTTTAACCACAACACAACAGACTGTTGACAGTGTGACCAGAGTGCAACGGTACATAATCTCTATCAGGGCCATGATGTCCGACCTTTGCGCCCTGAGCGAGGAAGATCACATTGATAACCTCGTCAAGCTGTGGATTCATTAAGCTGTCAGGCAGTGTCAAGTAGACTGATGGGTATTTACCGCTCCCTCCAGGACGGCCTGACTCTGCATAGAACGGAGGTAACTTTATATCGCCTTGGTCAAACGTGGATTAGATTGGTATAGCAGATAGGGGTATGTACATATGCTGTTTATTACCTTAGTTGTATATTGTGTGTATATTGGGCATTTTTATGTCTCTGAAGTCAACAATGCACAGAAGTAAACGAAGATATGGGTTGGTTTTAACATAATTATCAATAATATTAATCTTGGGAATTTGGCATTATGATCAATATCTTTTACTGTTTATTTCTATTAGAAGAAAACAATAAAATGAAATTATTGATTATTTTTTTATAGTTGTATGTCCTTTATGAGTGAGTATGATTTTACGCCGCTATTAGCAATATTCCAACAGGGGATACCAGTTATAGGCTTCACACATTGTACACATTTTGGGACTCGAACCCGGGCCTTCGGTGTGCGGAGCGAACGCTTTAACCACTTGGCTACCCCAACGCCGCCCCTCCCCCATGTCCTTTAGAGAATTCATGTGTGTGTGTGTGTGTGTGTGTGTGTGTGTGTGTGTGTGTGTGTGTGTGTGTGTGTGTGTGTGTGTGTGTGTGTGTGTGTGTGTGTGTGTGTGTGTGTGTGTGTGTGTGTTACACTCAATATGTGCAACTGCCCATTGCGTGCATGCGACGGACAGTGACTTGTATGAGTTTTAAAATATTATTCACAGAATTCAAAAGTTATTTTATAATGATCTATTCACCGAGTTATTTTACAAGGATCTTTTCACTGAATTGTTAAATTAACATTAAATCATAAATAACTATTTATGTGGTTTCTCAACTGCTGTAAAAGACAAATAAAATAGGCTCGAAAATGATACGTCGGACCAAATGTAGACTTTAATGTGCGCCAAATAAAAGCGATCAACCATTATTTTATTATTTTTTTAATTACTAAACGATGATCTTCGCTGAACTATATTGACTCAGAAAATTGTACTTCCTGCTCACAAGCACGGGTTGGGTTATGTATAATTGACATACAGTATATTGTTTTGATATCAATTTACCTGGATGAATGGAACAAGTTATCCTTTTGAAAGGTGTTCATTGTATTACACTTAGTTACAATTAGTTTCTCTATCTTTGATAGTTTTTTTGATAACGTAAACAAGTTCACCTTTCATCTAAATGCACTGTTTCCCTTTGATCATTCCCGAAGCATCAGTAAAGGTTTTGTGACAACTAGTTATGTTTTCTCTTATTTTTACAAACATTCTGATGGTATATTATTTTCAAAAGGTTAAACTAATGCAATTACGGCACAAATAGTTTTATCTTTGATATGAAAACATATTACGTTGATTATATCTACCCAAACTGAGAGAGATTGTTGAAACATATGATGATGCTTGTTAAAACTACCATTATAAGTTAAGTAGAAGTAGAAGTTCTGGCCAAAAAATGTTATTTCTCACATGCCTACGGATAACTACGTATATGATGCTACTGTCCTGTGGTCATCTGAATATGAACAGAAAGTCATTGACGTCCTCAAGCGAAGGAAGACTCGACAATCCATGCCAAGGGAGGAATACCACTTCTTGACTAAGAATCTCCTTGTATCCATGGATGGAGTTGACAAAGTGACGAAGAAGGACGGCAAGTACATGGTCACCAAGGAAACAGTAGCAGAGTTAATCACACACACACACACACACACACACACACACACACACACACACACACACACACACACACACACACACACACACACACACACACACACACACACACACACACACACACACACACACACACACACACAGAAACTCTCCATGGTGGTGCAATAGTGCATGCCATAGCCACAAATCCCATGCAATCTGTGGCTGAACTGAGCGGTGATGTGATTCACTGTTTGATTTGTGCTTTTATTTAGAAAATGAAGTTTCTTAAGATCACATTTGTTTGGTTGTTATTTATTACAGTTTATTCACTTAATGATTGAGTTTACTTTATTAGAAACAAAACATGTAAACAATACCAATTTCATTTGCGTGCTTTGGGCAGAACAATTACCTACCCATTGCGTGAAATGAGCAAGCAGGTTGCCCATATTGTGAAATATTTGGAGAATTATTATGCACATTGCATGAAATGAGCAGATTATTGTTTGCACATTGCATGCAATGGGCAGTTGCACAGACAGGGTGTATACATACCTGTACATGTACATTGACTTTCGACATACGGCAGCCCAACATTAACATGCTTCTCCACAAAAATAGTTCTTTAATATTTATTAAATTTCGTTCTATATATATATCTCTTTGTATGTGTCTAAATTTATGAATTCGATTACTCCAGAAGTAAGTAAATGCAAAATGAATGTTCGGTCTAAGCATTATGTTGTTCTTAGATACAAAAATGTATTAGATCATACTCTAAAGATTGCACACAAAGAGGTAAAATTGCATCTTGTCAGTTTAATGGGTTAACACTTTACGTCACATTTATCATACCGATCATATATTGTAAACAAATGACTAGTGTTATGATATACTGGCTCATATATCCAGTTGAAGCAATACACTTGAAATAGGCTAGACTCTACGTTCAGCAAAGAAGCAGAAACAGAAGAACATTGGGTCTATCTCCACTGCAGCATAAAACTGTACATATTGTTCCCAACGTAGCCTTTGCTGTGTGATAAGGTGAGGCTTGTTTCGTCGATTTCCAAGAATGTGTGAACAGTTTCATAGAAGCCGGAGGTAGTGTACAGCTACTATATGGACGAATCATCAAAACAGAAAAGATACCAAATGTTACGGATGTGGATTTTTTCAATGTATTCCTACACGTAAATCATGGCATAGTGACACATGTAGAAAGCATAATTCTAATAACTGTGAGACCCGATAAACCCGATAGTTATCATTTATCAGAATTGTTAATTTGAGATTGTACTTCAGGAAGGGCCAAACTTCCATGACACCGTATAAATAGCGTGCGTGCGTGCGCGTGTGTGAGTGCAATACACTCTAGACCTTGTTCTTTTTCTTTCTGCTTCTATTCGGAAGATAATACTTAGTGATGCATGTATGTAACTGAACATATCCTTGTATTTATTGATCAACTTGAGCCCTAACTGACTTAATTAAAGGTTATTAATGTCCATATGTACACCGATGGACGGCATTTCTTGTTTAAATGTGGGCCTCAAGTACTTCCATAGAAACATAAAGTGGGATCATAAAATGTTCTCAACGCTAACGTTAAATCAGTGTGGGAATTTGGGGTTCCATACATTGCTCACGTACGGGAGGGTATCGCGATCGTACAGAATACGTAACTTATCAGGTTTGTTTATTACACAGAACCAGTATATTCGGACCGTGTTTTCAATGTTTCAGAAGTTCATTCACTTCAAAAGAATAATCACAAGTCCAAAGTACATTTGCAAATTAGCAGACAATTTTTATGTCCATGGCCACTTAGCATATATAGCAAATCTTATTGAAACTTCTTTCTTTTACATTATACATTTTACCTGTAAAAGGATTGCTATCCACGCGAAATAAATTAGACGAAATGTGTAGAAACATACCTTAGTGGCGTGATTGTTGAGTTATACACGCGGCAACCGATGTGGGACAATCCACAGCTACTGGATGTAACCACGTCATGCTACACTGTACATGTGTATACTCAACAGAAGCCCGTTCCGGGGCGCATGTTTGGAAACTGGGCTTATTTGGCTCACATTCAACGTGGACGTACCTAGCTCTACCCAAGGGCGTCCACGTAGACCGAAACACTTCCACACATGTAAACCCCTTGCTGCGATCCGAACAATGGTTTTTCTGATCCAAATTCACCAAATGACATCATCTTTAGGATAACTCCATGCCATTTTACAGTTGCTAAAGCTATGACCTCACAAGTACATGTCACCAGGCCGTCACTAAACGGTATATTACTGTTAACAGTTAATGTTCATACATGTACCTGTGAGCGACAGGGTCAAGGAGTCAACGAAATATGTTCAGCTATGCTGCGTGGTATAGTAAGCGTGGAAAGCGAGGCTGACAGCCCCCACACAAAGACTAGACTGGGTGTTACAACCCATGCGTCAGCAGAGGAACGCGGAAACGAAAATGATTAACAAGGGCTCACGCAAGTCGCTGAGTCAACTGGTCGTGTTGTCCCTGGACTCCGCGTTGTTGAAGCGTCAATATGTCCAACAGAGGGTGTAACGAGTAAAGTCACGCTTCAAAAAGTAAGAGAAAAGTGTTTGGCATCTAACTGTTAATACCCTAACACTGGCTAAAGAATATATTTGCTTTAGTCATGTTCGCCGTATCTGTTACACTGTACATACATGGAATAGCTTTCTAATAATTTCATTTTCATGACAGATTTAAATACCGTTGGGGTGTTACTTCGCACGGACTAATGCCGATGTTATGGTGCTACCCCACTGAGATACCATGCCGCAGTTTAGCATGAATATACCACTCAGACACAGTATACTGACTCCGAGCCGACCAGTCCTTGTTTTTGCTCCTAAATGCCAAGCGCCAGCAGGGTAACAACAAGTACCATCTTTTAACGTCTTTTGGTATGGCGCGCCTGGGGATCGAACCCCGGACCTTCAGCTCTCCGAGCAGACGCTCTATCCACTAGACCACGGGGGTGGTCGGACACTTTGGTAAATAGAAGGGGTCGAAACGTCTATGTACACGTATCACTTAAGGATTGACTGTGTATTTTTTTCGGTTCATTGAGGTATGAATCGAAAAGCCGATATGCAAACTGTATGAATCCGCGTAGCGGATTCTTACAAAAGTTTGCACATTGGCTTTTCGATTCATACCTCAATGAACCGAAAAAAATATACAGTCAATGCTTATAATTAAATTCGACAACGTAAAACATGTTTTATCTACAATAGTTTAACCCAAAACAGTTGCATATATCAAAACAGACAAAAATGACGACATTGATAAACATTCCAGGTGTAGGAATACATACAGTGGCGTGACATGAATCAGGTGATCGTTTAATTTATGCACATAACTTGACACGCCTACACAGTCAGTAGCCAATCAACGGAGAGTGGGATTAAAACAATGTTCATTTGACCTGTCAATTAAGGCAAGAGGCGAAAAGAACTGCAACAGTCAGACTGTAACGAACCGGAAGAAATATGTCCGAGAGAACCGGCGGCAGTTTCAAATAACACGGTCATTTACTGCGTGATTCAAACATTACTTCCCTGATTACGGTAAATCACAGTTGGAGAAATGCTAGTTATAAATGAAACCCAAAGACATGAAAGTTGAACCGGGGCGAGCGGGAAAAAAACAGGCGAGCGAGCCTGCACGTTTGCTGTTTCATTCATTCTCGGCCTTCGGTTTCAAAGGGTAGTTTGGACAATGAATATGCATGAAAGTCGCTAAATGTCCTGTGCATGACGATACACGTGAGCAGAAAGGGAATTCCCTCGACTGTAATATTGGGATTCCCCGACATTCCGAAGTAATAAAAGTAGTGCGCCGCGGTGGGCGTGGCTTAATTTTTTACATTCATTGGGAAATGAATGCAATAACACGTGACCAATTCAGCTAATCAGAATGCAGGAATTTCCATGAACACAACGAAAATTTAATTATTTAAGCATACATTCAATGTCACATACTTTCATTGACGATATGTCTATACCTATACTTCTGTGTATACAATGTACGTAGTTATCAAGCTAAACCATGAGTAGCAAGTTCTTTACACAACCTAGTCTCCAAATCGTGACAAGAAGATGTGCTTAAACTTGCAAACAAAGCCAAGTAGTAAAGATATTGTTGTATTTAATTCCAATGTGGGCCACCCTTCACTTCAAGGAGCACCGTGGCTTACATGTCAGGTCAACCGAGGCATTGATAACCTCCAGTGGGAATGGTCGACGGTATATGTTCACACACATCACCTGTGCAGCATTAACCTTATCACTATCAGTATCTGCAAGCAACTCTCATGTGTGCCAATTGGGTAAACAGCATATGTCTATGTGGATGGGTGCTTTTATGAATGAGTGAGTGAGTTGGGTTTAACGCCGCTTTTAACAGTATTCCAGTTATATCACGACGTGTCAGCTTAATGTGGGAGGAAAGCCCGAAGTGATGCATGTCTCAGACGTTTACCACTTCGGTGAAGCCCACGAGCACGGGTATGGTGCTGACAAACCTAGAAACATAATCGAGCGAACCGGGATTCGAACCCACAATTATAGGTTACTGGCGTGCCCAAGGGTCGCAACTCTGCACAGCGAATCGCGGCGCCTTAGACGACCCTTGCCCCCTGTTATGAATAATGTGTGCAGTGTGTGGAATGTATAATTATGAACTAAGTGTTTCTTGTCGTGTTTGAATATGTGTGTGGTAAACTACTTGTTTGAACAGGTTGGGATAATGAACAAATGAGCATGAGTGCGTGCGTGCGTGCGTGTGTGCGTAAGAATTTGTAAGAAGGCATGAGCAGAAACCATTACATACGGTACTAGTAGTTTATTTCTCATCCGTGATCAGATAACAAGGCACCTTTTTTACACAGTGTTTAATAACATCACCTGCGGACGGAACTATTTTCGGTCATCAGCTGGTCATTCGAATTGCGGCCTTGTTATACACTGTGTACTGTCTACTCTACCCCTAGACGGAGTCGACAGCCGATAGACCCTTCCAGTGTTCACGAAACACCAATGACGCGTTGATGACAAGATAAGCATGCATTACAAAACTCGCTGAAGTCCGTCAGTTGTTGCTGTAGTCTGTAAACTAGCTTAGGACCCGGGACTAAATACGTTTGAAAAAGACTCACTTTTGTATTGTACCAATGCAAGCATCTTGATATTATAAACGTTCAGAGCAGTACAAACTCGGAAGCAGTAAAAACACATCCCAAACTATCATCAAAAACATTCACGGCGGTCTATTTACGACCTTCAACTTCGTGTTGTTAATGGGAGTGGTCCCCCTTGGACCAAGTGGACAGTTGTTAGAAATTGATCCTCATTATGTCAAAAGACCCACCCAAGTGTCGGGAATCATTGTGCCTTGATTGATGCTGCTTAAGGGCAATTACTACATATTCCATACAGTCGTCTAAGGCGCCGCGATTCGCTGTGCAGAGTTGCGTACCTTGGGCACGCCACAAACCTATGATAATGGGTTCGAATCCCGGTTCGCCCCGATTATGTTTCTAGGTTTGTCAGCACCATACCCGTGCACGTGGGTTTCACCGAAGTAGTAAACGTCTGAGATCTGCATCACTTCGAGCTTTCCTCCCACATTAAGCTGACACGCCGCGATATAACTGGAATACTGTTAAAAGCGGCGTTAAACCAAAATCACTCACTCAGTAATACTTTTATGCGGCGTTAAATTAAACTCACCCACTACAATTCAAACCATCTTCTGACTCGTGTGAAATCACAGCCATCATGACAAGACTTGATGAGTCGATCGTCTTTCGGGCCTACACCGAACCATGTTTTTTGGCTTTGAATCGAGATTTACCGCTTTAAGCAGATGTTTCCAACTAGTGTTGTATGTGGATAGGCCATTATCAACAATGTGTATTGTAAAGCGTATCTTATGTTTTCTTATTATCGCAATCGATCTCACAAACACAGCGCACTTTACTGTCAGGTATCACCTTGAGAGAACAGTCTACGGTCGCCATCAGCTATGCACCATCAGTTATCAATGTTGGATTCATACGCCGCCCTTATACCAGTGACGTGTTTCCGTTGGATTTAGATAATGATGAATACACGATGCCATTTAGAAAGTGGTCAATGTAACAAATGTTATATTGGGGATTACACACTTTTTGTAAAGTACAGATTCTAGTACGAGTCCAATTCGGGACTCGAACCCACACTCTCATAGTGAGGCACCCAATCGCCAGCACACGAAGTCAGATAATGTTAAATACTGTTATAAGGTTAAAAATGCATCTCAGAAACTAATGGTAACAAATAGAACCATTATAGCTGCAATGAGGAGTTGCATTAGATATAGTTTGTGACAGAACTTTTAGTTGGAAAGGAATCAATAGAGAAAAGACATTTCACATTTATCACAAGTGTATTCTGGACATTTCACATTTATCATTGGATTGGTTTCTGGCTATCGTCAGTTTCAAGGCATAATTCATTTGGAGCTTCCGGACGCGTGTCACAAAATCAATAGAGAGATGAGCAATATGGCACGTAGGCTCTGGTATTTTTCCGATTACGACACACATGAGTTCATGGTCAGATCTAACTTGTAACGAATCAAATGGAGGTATTAAGACATGTGACAAGGACAGGCCAGGCTCGAACACTATTAAATGATACCCTCAACATTAGGAGAGGAGAGCGCGGTTTACAATCGATCGAGTCGAATCCCGATCGTTCTAAGTTTCCCCCAGCTAGTGACGAGCCTGGCCAGTCTGATCCTGTTCTGTATTGATAAATGGGCTGAGAGTAAGTAAAACTATGTGAGTATAAACTGGTGTTGCGTTTCTTTATTATGCGTGTGTGAATGCTGATAGAGACAACTTGGAGTAAGGGTCATTAGACCAATCACTCCTTGACGGAGCCGAGCCGTGGTGGACAAGGTGAGGGCAATGTCATGGCTTAATTGACCACAAGGACCAGGAACGGCAATACATTTAGTAACTGTAGCAGGGTCGCACTGGACGCCCAAAGGCAGTTACGACATTACGAAATGATTACATTCGCCCACGTCAGATACAGGTTTTGTATAAACTCGTGTCTTTCTATCACGCTTCCACTCGTTAGATTCGTTTTGACATGCTATGTAACGGTATCTAACGGGAAATTGTGTAATAATCTTTATGTGTATGTGTAGGAAGGCAAGCGCGTAACATATTGCATGCGAATACACAGTGCAGTTATGTGTATGAGTGAGTATGAACAAGTGTTAACACCTGGTGTTATTGCTTAATATTTTTCAGTGATCCATTCATATTCTTTTCACCGCTATTTTGTCTTTTACGCCGAATAGAATCTGTTTCGGTGGGTAATCGAGGTTATTCTCTACATGTTGTTGCCGTTTTATGTTCACTTGAACTTAGTCGATGTTTCTGCTGGTGACTGAATTCCGTCATAAGCTCAGTAGAATGTTTCAATTATGTTGAGT